TTTAGCACCTTGAATTGCATTTGTATTGGAATGATGTGATTTCTGAATCTCGATTTCAAATGCCTACACCTTTTAATTTATACAGAGAATTGGTTGCAAATAGAAGGTTGTAGAATTATGTTATTTTGACTAAATTGATTTGTCCAGTATTGGCACTACCCTTTTTCAACTATGACTGTAGGGCAAACATTTTCAACAACAAAAAATGTGAAGATGGAAATTTGTATCAAAATGGATGATGATTTTCTTACTGATTGTATGACATTCTACATAGAACGAAAGTCTACTATGAATTTAGATGTTTTATTATTGATTAATTGTATACTTGTCGGGCACAACTTGAGGGTAAATGTTATATTATCATTTTTTTTTTGTTATATATGAATTTTATTCATACATTAAATTTTAAAAAAATAATTGCCCCATGCATCGTAAATTCCTGACTTCGCTGAAAGTCGAGAAGTTTTATTCATATCAATACTAAACACGAGTTACAAATAAAGTGAAGAGAGTCCTTCACCGAGCATTATCCAAAGCACTGCTACAAACATATCAAGTAAACACTAGAAATATTAAGTATTCAAGTTACACATTCGTGCTTGGAGCTTAATTAGTTAAGCTGAAAAGCAGTGTCATAAGCAATTCCAGCCTTTCAATCACTGGAATGGCACTGGTTAATTGCACCCACTTCATTTCCACGCTGCCCTCGGCCACCACCTGAAGTCTAAAGTTGAGAGGCCCCGGTGGTGGGTTCTGATGGTCGAATACTGTTCTAAAGACTCTTTACATTGGCCTCCATTCCTTGCGATCCTCCTAACAACATCAATGGCAAAGTTACTTTTTTAGAAAGTAAACATTTATTTAAAAATCATGTTTCAAAAAGTAAAAAAGAAAAGTTTATTTGACTTAAAAGTATATACCTGTCATATTTCAACCGCGATGATATCATACGTTCCCTCTTTATACAATGGCACTACGACCAAGTACTGAGGGTATTTGCTATGCTCATGGACTTTTAGAAAGAGATTATAGCCATAACGACATGGAATTCTTTTGAATTCGATGTCAACTACGCCGTATGCAAATAGTTCTGTAGCCATGTTGGATCAAGGCAATTTTGCGTACGCTCGTGTACACAGTATGAAGTATGTACGGTCTCCCTCGCCATAATTCGTTACCACTACCTTCGCTTCTTCCTCGCTGCAATGTGTTGGGATTCTGCACCTTCCCTCATTCATTTAGTCATTGAAGCATCAGCTTAGAAGAGAAAATAAGCATAAGCTAAAAAATAAATAAATAATTTAGTTATAGCTTTTTTGTCCACTGTCAAAAAATGGCATACCTGATAGCAAGCACCGCAACCAATTCCATTCCTGTAAAGCCTAGAGACTCCAGTGATTTCACCATTGTTGACAAACGTCCCATATCCACCAAAACCACAAGCTCCAGCTAGTAAAATTATGATAAAAACATTTTGAATTAGCTACAGACTACAGTATTGTTGAGAAAAAAAAAAGTCATAGGCCGACTTTGGCACAAGTTTGGAGTGGGACCCGGTTGTTCAATTTGAAAGATGAAAGTTGATTTGTGTTCTCCTCCGTGAGTACATCGAAATCATATACTTACTTACCAAAGATGATGCTCGAGTGAATGAGAAATTGAGGCTCAATATATGCCAATCAAAAGGGAGTTTATGTGGGAAAAATGTGTCCCACATAAGAAAAAGATGAGAAACTTCAAAGGTCATTGCCATTAATGGTAGCCTAGCTTATAAATAGTGGCTCATTTTCCTCATTTCAACA